ATTGAGGCAAGCAGCAACACTGGGGGCGGGGGCGGGGTGGGGCGGTGCCGCGTCTGCTCCCTCCCATGCCCTTTCTGACCTCAGACTTGGAACTCCTCAAGAACCTGAAGATTCCAGTGGTCAGTGTCAGTGGGGGGTGGGAGGAGAGAGCAACAGAGAAGCTCTGAGAGCCCCGTCCCACAACCAGTCTAGCTCTAGTTGTTATATTTAGGCAAAACTTTGTAGTCTTCTTTCCCTTTTATGATGGATTTTGATAAAAGTACAAAACAGGGTTTAATTTTCTTTTTTATCACCTTTGAATTTGGAAATTTTGAGCACCCAAGCTCTTCTGTACCTATTTAAATTAAAGTCCACCAAGGGGACTGCAGCTCCTAGAACATGAGAATCAAGCCTCTCAATATTAAACTGCGGAGTGTGGCCCCTGCTTTCTCCGTCCTCCTGCCCAAGGACGACGGGGATTGCTCCAGGGCTGCTGGGTAGTTTACCGTCCCTTCTCTAGGCATGGAGTTGGCACTGACATCACAGCTTCATAACCCCACCACCGCCAGCTTCCCCTGCCTCCTACATCCAGTCTGTTCTTGTTCATAGTGAGAATCCTGTGTTCCCACTTCAGTGACAACTGAATTGTTTGTTGTTGTTGTTTTTTTATTATTGTCTTCAAGGAGGAAGGGCCCCATTAAAGGGTGAACTTGTAATAAATTGGAATTTCAAATAAACCTCATGTACTTGTGTTTATAAAGAAGAAACCATTCTGGTGGCTGTTTCTTCATGCTCGCTCTTGGTGGGTGGGGGTGAGTAGTGCTGTTCTGAGTGCTGCTTTCCCACTGACCCTTGGAGCCAGGTCCTCTGAAGGCCTCCACAGAGGGCCTCTCAGTGTTCTTAACCAGAGAAAGAAATACTCCTTTCAAGCCTCTCCTGGCCCTGTCTCCATCTAAAACCCCGAAAAACTTCATTTGAAACTAGGAATTACGGTGAAAATAGATTTTTAAGCCTTCACTATGGGGAAACTCCTGCCACTTTAAAACCTTCTTCAGGGAAAAAAAAAAGTTGGGGGGTGGTGGGGATGGAGTCTCACTCCATCACCCAGGCTGGAATGCAGTGGCATGGTCTCAGCTCACTGCAGCCTCCACCTCCTGGGTCCAAGCAATTCTCCTGCCTCAGCCTCCCGAGTAATTGGGATTATAGGGACACGCCACCACGCCTGGCTAAGTTTTTGTATTTATAGTAGAGCCAGGTTTTCACCATGTTGTCCAGGCTGGTCTTGAACTCCTGACCTCAGATGATCTGCCCGCCTCGGCCTCCCAAAGTGCTGGGATTACAGGCGTGAGCCACCGAGCCCGGCCTCAAGGAAAATTTCAGACACAGACAGAAACAGTGAAAAAGTATAATGAATTCCTATGCTCAGCTTTGATGGTTCTACCACGTCTAATCTTGTTTTATTTATGCCTTCATTTATCTTTTAAAGTTTGACTGGCTGATGTGCGTAGGGTGCTGCTAGGCAGCCACCTGCCAATGGAATACAGAGATTTTGCTGAACCACTGCTGTGGGCACAGGCACTGAGAAATTAAACTGCCAGTTCCTGACCAGCTGAACGAGGTGAAGCTGGTGTAATGGGAAGAGCCTTTGAGGCCCCAACCTTGGGCGCAGGTTCTGCCGCTGATGCGGCTTTGCGGCCTTGGTAAGCATGGGCAAGCCAGGGCCTACACAGAGCGCTCAGGGAATGTTCGTCCTGCCTGGAGGAAGCGGGCTTGCCCCAACAGCAAATTGAATTTGCACAGCTTATCCGCTCTGGCCTCCAGCTCTGGAGAAAAGAGCAGTGTCCCCTCTGGACATTTTCTGCAGGGTGACAGTGACACTCAGGGCTCCCAGCCTTCCTCTGTGAAGTCCTGCTCCTCCGGTAGTTTTCCCAGGCACACACTAGGATACTGCCTTGGGGTGGTCACCTCTGGTCGTGTCCTGGTCTCAGCACACTCTTAGCCACTGCCTCACCAGGCTGTGACCTTGTGGGGCAGCCACTTCACTTTGATGACTGCAAATGGGGGCATGGGAACTCCATCTCTGAAGACAGGGTTCTGAGTCATGACCTGGGAGTCAGCTGAGGCCTGTCCTTGTCCTGCACACTCTTATTTCTCAAATTTTGTCTCTGGGGAGGGGACACGGTCAGTAGACTTGGTTGGCAGTGAGGTGGCATCTGGATTCCAACAGAGCGACTCAGAGGGGGCACCTCTTCCTGCTGGCCAGCGGCCAGGGCATCTCTAGAGGACCCTGGGGAACTCGCCTCCCGTTAACCGCGCTCTCGTAACCCCGGCCCTGGGCCTCCTGGCTTTTCAACATCTGGGACTGCTGTGTCTAGGAGCTGCTTGAGGGGGGCGACTTCCTGGGAGCAGGAGGATCTTGGGCCCACCACACACAAGCGCAGACCCACAGGGACAGGGTCTGCCTCCCAAGAGGCTTGCAGGTCTGTGATGCCGCACTCTGAAGACCCAAATACTGGGCGCCAGGGCCACTAAGGGAAAGGCCCGGGCCCGGGCACTCGATGCACATGCCAGCACGTGTGGGTTTTCGAGGCATTTTTTGGCCCTGGAGGGTTCTTTAATGGGTGTGGGGAGAGGTCTGGCAGTGGGAGGGGCGTTCGTCTACTCCCCACTCGCTTTGTCCAGCTTCTGGGGACATAACCTTGCCAAGGCATACACCCTGCCTTTCCCCACCAGGACCTAATCGGATCCCTGGTGTGGAACGCACAAAAGCTCTTGGGTTCAACTCCAGCTTGGCCTCAAACTGCCTGGCTGTGCGTTCCAGCAGCCAAGCCATCTAAACACTTCCCATCTGAAACGCGGGGCGGGGGGGAGCAGGATCACGTGAGAGGGTTGCGTTTCCTTTTTCCCTTTCCTCCAGGGCCTGGAACTTATTTCCATAGCATCTTCCAGGGCTGAGAAAGCTGGCAGGGCCCTGCCCTCCCTCCCAGGTTCTGGCCTTAAAGCAGAGCCCCCTGGGGCCTGTCCTGACCCTGCACTGCCTGTCTGTGCTCCCATCCCAGCTGCCCTGGAAACCAGCACCAGGCTGGTGTCTGCTGAGCAGGACATGGCCACTGACAGCAAGGAAGAAGGGGCAGGTGGGTGCCCTTGGATGCTCATCCTCCCCCCGCCTTTCCCACACCCCACCTATCTTGCTCTTCCCAAGTCTCTGGAATCCTCTCCATTCGCTCCAGCTGTCCTCGCCCTGGTATAGGCCCTTCCCACTTCCCTTACACTGCCTGTGAGCCCAGCACCCTGCAGCCTCTGCCCCTCCCATGCCCAGTGTGGGCACTTCACTGCCTCTAATGAGCTCATTCTCTTTCCCACTCAAAGACCCTCGCATGGCCAGGTGTGGTGGCTCACGCCTATAATCCCAGCACTTTGGGAAGCCAAGGCGGGTGGATCACTTGAGGCCAGGAGTTCAAGACCAGCCTGGGTGACATGGTGAAACCCCATCTCTACAAAAAAATACAAAAATGAGCCAGGCATGGTAGATGCCACCCGGGCGGCTGAGGCAGGAGAATCGCTTGAACCTGGGAGGCAGAGTTTGCAGTCAGCTGAGATCTCGCCACTGCACTCCAGTCTGGGCAACAGAGTGAGACTCCGCCTCAAATTAAAAACAAAAACAAAACAAAAAAACACCCTCACCTGCAGCATTACAAGGAGGCAGGGTCATTTGGCTTTGTTGGTCAAAGGCACATGGGGACTTACTTAATGTGCGCTCTGTGCAAAGGGAAGGATTTAGATGGAGAGGGCGTTCCCCGAGCAATAAACAGCCTAAGAACAGGTGCGAGGGCTGTAAGCTTCCCTGGGGCACCACTGCTCCTTGTGGTGAGGGATACCCCTTAACCCCTTCAGCCCACGGTGGTCTTGTCTCCTGGGAGCTTGACCCAACCTCTTTGATTCTCACTGAATTTTTCTTGTCCCTGTGGGATTGGTGGTTGGGGGTAGGGCACAGTGCTCCAGCCCGAGAGGCCCCGGGTTTGGGGCTCCGCCTCACCATTCAACCTCAGCACCTGAGCGTCTCCCCTCCTGGAGCCTCCCCGTGGCTCTAAAGTGAGGCTGGCAGCAGGGCTGGACCTCTGGGACCTCCTGGCACTGACACCAAATGCCGGCTGTGTGTAGTAGGCACTCAGGGACAGTAGTAACTAAGACCCTCACCTGGCTGGAGTCACAACAGCCAAGATGGGGCCCTGGGGTCTGACCCCAAGCCAATAGGGGTCTCCAGATGGCCACATGTCCCCAGCTACCCAGCCCACAGAAACAAGGCAGGTCCTAGTAACCCTGAGCTACCCCAGCATGCGGATGGACACGGGACCTTTCCCCATACCTGCCCCAGTGTGGAGCTCTGCACAACCCCCGAGCTGCCTCATTCCCACTGCTGCCGTCAGCAACTCAAATCTGACAAGCTTAGGAGCTAGGAGCCCAATTCCCACTCTACTCAAGGGCTTCCCAACTCCGCCTGCATGTCTGTACTACCCAGAGGCCCACAGACCAGTCCAGTCTCACCTTCACCCCACCTGGAGATGCCAGGGAGCGGGCTGGGGCTGCCCTGGTGGAGGCCCTGAGGAGCCAGGCAGACACCAGCAAATTTCCAAGCCCCCAGGGAGGAGGCCCTCATGACACTGACACAGACTGACACCCTTACTTTCCACGCCAGTGAGGAGAGCAAGGGCCCAGAGAAGGAAAACGCATCTACAGCCTCAAACTGGACTCCCTGGGGCCAGAGGTGGCCGTGTCACCCTGGGGGATTCCCTGAACATCCCGCAGGCGTCCCTCTCTCCATTTGGAAGCAGAGAGACGGGCGGGAGGGGAAAACACGCACACATGGTGTCTGGGACTCCTGCAATGCACAGCTGTTCTGGGGGGACTTCCTTTGATTGGGGGGTGCCAGCACCCACCGCCAGCTCTGCTTACAAGAAAGACTGCTACAGGGCCCTCACCCTCTTACCTTCCCCCCTTCCCAGCCACAGAGGACTCAGCAGTGCCACGCGGGGATTTATTCCAGTCACAGCTTCCAGAGAAACGCAACAATAAATTACATCATTAAATAAACTCCGGCTGGACCCTTCTGCCCCCTCCCCTGCACATCCTCCCCTAGGACCCTGTGAGGACTCGGGCTGGTCCAGCCCCTGCATTAGGGGAGACCCCCATCTCCCCTAATGAGCCTCACGGGGTCCCGGCCCTGGTTCTCAGCCCCTGGTGCTCACTTGCCTGACCTTGACAGCTGGGCAGCTGCTAGTCAGCTGTCTCTAGTGGGTGCAGGGGACAGGGTGTGGAGGGCAAGGAGGGGGCAGCAGCCACCCCCCGCCAGGCCTGTGTCGCTAGAGGTGTGTGGGGTTCTCCAGAGAGGGGTCCGTCTTAGTCATGTGCAAGACCACGGTGGGAGCCTTATAGTGGCAGTGCGTGCCACGGCCATAGCCCCCGGGGACCCGGCAGGCCTTGGCCCGGGCCCGGCCAGCTGCCATCTTGCGGTAGCACAGGCTCTGCCAGGTCTGGAAAGTTTTGGAGCTCCACACCCAGACGCCGCTGGTGATCCCCACCACCAGTGACATGAAGATTTTGAGCATGAAGACCGCCACGGTGGGCACCGAGCCCCCTGGCAGCGAGCAGTCCCTCCGGCCT